CGTAGAGGCAAAGGATTATACAAACCATGAGGCTTAACCTTAGACTTAGTCTGTCTACAAGTGATACACTTCTCACATATTTTTTTCTAAATCATGTTTCATATGAGGCCAAAAGAAGTGTTCGTGTAAAACATCTAATGTCTTAGATAAACCAAAATACCCCATCAAACCACCTTCATGAGCTTCTCTAACAAGCAAGTCACACAACGAACCGTTAATTCCCGATTTGGTAAATATTATATTTAACAGTCGCTGGAGCCGGTCATTAAATTTTCAAATAAATACAATAAATATGGCATTTATTAATAAATACTACATTTAAAAGTCGTTAAAGTCGGTCGCCCAAATTTTTAGATAAATACTGTAAATACGGTATTTACCGATAAATACGGTATTTACCGGTCACCGATGTTAATCGCCGGATTTTCAAATAAATACAGTAAATGCAGTATTTATCAATAAATATATTATTTACTGATAAATATAATATTTACTAGTCACCAAAACGGGTCTCCGATCGTCGTAGCCAGCCACCGATCGCTGGAATCTACCGCTAATCACCGGTCCCTGTCATGGTGAACAACTACCAAATATATTTTCAAAAATGATTCCAAAATAAAAATAAAAACGTTTTTGTTTTCATTTTCATACAAAAAAACAAAAACGTTTTGAAAATAATTTCAAACGCACCCTATAATATGCTATTTTCATCCTTTTTCCTTTCTTTTTTTATTTATTCTTCCTAACATTGTCTCCGACGTTCCGCCGTTTCCTCCCATTGCCCAAGTCCATGGGCAAAGTACTAAAGCCGACAATCCCCAATCAGCCCACTTTAAACCGACTTGTAAAGCAAGGAAACTATAATTAAAAGAATAATAAACAAATTCTCAAAATAATAATAATAATAATAATAAATAAATAAATAATAGAAAATCTCCGAGAGTGGAGAGGACAGAGCCGGTGGGAGAAAATACCGTCTCTAGAGTAGGTTTGGAGTTTGGACGACGAACCAGAGAGAGAGCAAACCTCAATTGGATCCAATGGGTAACACCAATCTTCTTCTTCTTCTTCTTCTTTCTTTCTTTTCGAGTTTATCGTTGTGTTTTTTTATTTTTGTTCTTTCTTTTCGTCCTCTCCCCATTCTTCGTTTATCGTTGTGTTTTGCGAATTTTTTTCTTTCTTTTCGTCCTCCCCCAAATTCTTCCTTTATCGTTGTGTTTTTCGATTTTTTTTCTTCCTTTTCGTCCTCCCCCAAATTCTTCTTTTTTCCCTGCAAATTTTCTGGCCCGTTTCGATTTTCTCTTTCCTTCAAAGTTTTCTCGGAAACTAAACTTTGTATTTTCTTGGGAACGAAGCTGAGCGCAATGTAATCCTAATTTTTGTTCCGTTTACTAAGTAGAAGTAATGGGTTTTTGTTTGTATGAACTTGCAGACGCGGATATGGAGGATTATGGGTTCGAGTACTCAGATGAGGAGCCTGAAGAACAAGACGTCGACATTGAGAACCAATATTACAACTCCAAAGGTTATTTCCTCTTCAAATTTTGCTTAATTTCTGGAATTTCCTCTCCTTGTTTTGCTTCGTTTTGTTTATTTATTAAAAATGTTCTTTTCGTGCTTTTCTCCAATGTTTTCTTATCTCGAATTAGAAAGCTGAAAAATAGAGTTTGAATGTGGAATTATGAATTAAGGAGATATTAGAAGAAATATGCATTAAAAAAAAAAAACTATTGACAATTAGGGGAAAAAAAACTATGGGTTGCGACATTATTATTTTTCCCAATATTGACGATGTTTTTATATTTCCTGAATACTTGGAAATAGGTTTTCTCCTTGTTTCTATGTTGGTACTGGTAACCTTGGAAACTTAATAATATCAGCAAATTCGGTGACCTATGAATGTGTGAATCCTTAGTAAGGTGCAATGATCTCGTGTCGAATAATATTGCTCTCTGTCTCCATCACTCGCAGGAATGAGATGATGTTTTGCATTTGCCAATTGCTTTGTTATGCTGATAGTTTTCTTTTTCTGAATTAAAAAGGATTGGTTGAAACGGATCCAGAAGGAGCTCTTGCAGGGTTTGCTGAAGTAGTTCGCATGGAACCTGAAAAGGCCGAGTGGTGAGTGCCACGAGATATCATAATTCTGACATAATGCTGCCATTGCGATTGGCGTTTTGGTGAAATTACCAGTACACTTACATAATTCATCATATTCATTATTCAATCATTCAGCATAATGGTGAGATCTGCCCATTTAATATATCGTATAAAAATACTTTTAACACATTTTCCTAGAATATTGTAGTTTGTGTCTATCATAAGGGAAAACAACCATAAATTTCATGCTTTTTTTTTATTTTTATTTTTATCGGCTCTTGATGTGAACTTTTTAATTGTTTTCAGTTGGATTCTTGCCATGTTAGATGCCCATGTTTATTGTCAAAATTGAGACCTTTACGGGTCTGATTCTGATGGCTCCTTTGTTTCACTTGTTTTTAGGGGTTTTAAGGCTCTTAAGCAAACTGTCAAGCTTTATTATCGTCTGGGAAGGTATAAAGAAATGATGGAAGCATACAGGGTGATGTTGACATACATCAAATCTGCTGTGACGCGAAATTACAGTGAGAAATGTATAAACAATATTATGGACTTTGTCTCTGGTTCAGCTAGTCAAAACTTTAGTCTCCTTCGAGAATTTTACCAGACTACGCTAAAGGCACTTGAAGATGCAAAAAATGAGGTATGCTTATTAGACTGTTTTACGTAGTCATATGTCTTTAATGTCAAATGCAATATTATTATTTTTTTTTGTCATGTAGAGACTTTGGTTCAAGACAAATCTTAAGCTTTGCAAGATCTGGTTTGACATGGGTGAATATGGGCGAATGAGTAAGGTAGTTTGTTTGTCATACCTAATACTCTGAGCTTTGTGTTTGTCTGATATGTGATGGAGAACTTATGGGAATAGTCTGTGTTGCATCATTAGATCTTGAAGGAACTCCATAAATCTTGTCAAAAGGAAGATGGTTCCGATGATCAAAAGAAAGGAAGTCAACTTCTGGAGGTATATGCTATTGAGATTCAAATGTACACTGAGACTAAGAATAACAAAAAGCTTAAGGTAAGATCTCAGTTTTCATTCCGTGCTTTTGGAGTTGAAAATTATGCTCCTTTCCTATTTTTGTTTTTAATGAAATTAACGTGGGTTCTTGTATCCCTTCTACTAATGATGATTTGGCTTAGTTCAACGTGCAACTCCTTTTTGTTCTCTTAATTTTATACATTACTGATTAGTAGTTCATCTATCTGGTTATATATGCATTTTTGAATGAGCAACATCTAATATTGTGGATCAATTACAGCAATTGTACCAGAAAGCTCTTGCAATAAAGTCAGCAATACCCCATCCAAGAATTATGGGTATAATTCGCGAGTGTGGCGGTAAGATGCACATGGCAGAGCGCCAATGGGCAGAGGCCGCCACAGATTTCTTTGAAGCTTTTAAGAATTATGATGAGGCTGGGAACCAAAGGCGTATTCAATGCCTGAAGTATGTTCACAAGTTCCTTACACTATCTTTTACTTCTTAAACGTATACCTACCCCCTAGCGGACCTCTTCTTTTCTTTATTGTACTATTGATCTTAGTTCAGCCAAGATAATTCTAGTTGCATCTCTCTAATGTGAATAGATTTCATCACAATGGACTGTATAGAGAATAAATATAGTTTCAAGAACGTATCTATCTGTTCCCTCTCATGGTTTTTTTATATAAGCACCAGTTTTGCCTTTTCTTTTATTAATCTCCCTAGTTTCCTGTGTTGCTTGACAGATACTTAGTTCTAGCTAATATGCTGATGGAATCCGAGGTCAATCCATTTGATGGTCAAGAAGCGAAGCCGTAAGTTCTTTGTAATTTCTTTCTTCTGTGTGCGTATGTCGCTCCCTTTTTCTGATTTGTAAGGTACAGGTACAAAAATGATCCTGAGATTTTGGCAATGACAAATCTGATAGCAGCATATCAAAGGAATGAGATCTTGGAATTCGAGAAAATTCTAAAGGTATGGTTTTATACCCCCAAGATTATGTTGTAATGGGTTTACCTCTTCTATCATTATTTTCTGTGTCATTCTTGTTGTGATTGCATGTATGGTTATGTGTCATGTACATTTTTGTCCGTATTGTTTCCCTGCTCATATCAATTTGCTCCAAACTTATCTGTATCTGTTTCAGAGTAATAGGAGGACAATAATGGATGATCCATTTATCCGAAACTACATTGAAGATCTTTTGAAAAATGTGAGAACTCAGGTGCTGCTTAAGCTTATCAAGCCTTACACAAGAATCCGCATTCCTTTTATATCAAAGGTATGGTAGTAGTTTCTCAACATCTTAATTGGTGTTCAATTTCTCCAATTAGAATCATTCATCTTCTGATCTCCCTAATTTTGAGAACTCATTACCAAATCTGGGTTCTCAAATCTCCTGTAATTTCTTTTGCTCATCAATTGTCCCCTGTTATTCTTCTTTCCTTTTATTAATAAAATTCTCTCGTTTCTTATTTAAAAAAAAAAAGAAAAAAAAAAAAAGAAAAAATGTGGGTATTCACTTTCCGGAGGAATATAAAAACATTTAAGTTTACTTTCTAATTTTGGTATACTTTGGTTTAGAAGCCACTAGTGTGCCAGTTTAATCTTTTAGTCATACGGCAGTAAAGTTACTGGAACTTTGTTGATATGTCAGGAGCTTAATGTACCTGAAAAAGACGTTGAGCAGCTATTGGTTTCACTGATTTTGGATAATCGAATTGATGGACACATCGACCAAGTAAACCGGCTTTTAGAACGCGGTGACAGGTATGTTTTCTTTGTAATTACTGCATTATCATTCACGTAGTTATCGTTGTTATACTGTCATCATTCTCCATTTCTGCAAATATTATGCAGGTCAAAGGGAATGAAGAAATATGCTGCTATAGATAAATGGAATACACAGTTGAGATCCCTTTATCAAACCATCGGCAACAGAGTATATTGAGAGTGATTTAAACGAATCGTTTTGTTATTTTGTTCCATGAGATGCTCAATTTTCTATTATTGTGTATCGTGACTATGGTTCCAACTTTACCTGCTTGAGATCACAGCGTTGAATGAGCTGTGTGTGGCTTAGTTTTGACCTTTGATTGCTAGGATATGAATGTTATTTAATATGATCTATATACATTCTACATTGCATGGAAGAAAAGATAAAACTTTCTTTAAGTTTTTGGTGAAATTATTATATACTAGAATACAATGTTCTTCTGTCTATATGATGTGGGTGCTTTATCCTTTTATTTATTCCGTCCCTTTTGACTTTATCACATTTTGATCATAACTTAAAAAAGACTTGAAAGATTTAAATGACTAAAGCACCCTCAATTAAATTATTGGTTCAGATCTTCAACTAAGTTGGTTTCTGTTTTGGTAGTTATACGCTTGATCACTCTCAAATGGCTGCAGTTCTTTTATGAACTCTGTTACGGTCCTATTCTGTCTAGTATAGTCTAGTATTAAGATTAAACGAAGCCTTAAACGGATTATAATCTTTTGACAGAGTCAAGATCATGGTTATTTAAGATTCAACATCGATGTCGGTCCTATTAGTTTGAATTTTAGCCAAATAGCCCATCATTTTCATCATATGATCTTTGTTAGAAGACCCCAACTTCTATCTGCAGTTCATGCAGTTCATGAGGTTACGTAAAGCCTCTAAAACTTCCAATTTGTTTATTTTACATTCAACTAATGAACGTAAAGAGGACAATACTTGATATATAAAATAAGTAAATAATAATCCTTTATTGATATCAGAATGTCTAAATAACATTGTTACATTTATTCGTTAAAGGGCATAAACGCTAACATGGATAACAATAGATATCAGATTATTCTAACGAGCCTTTGATCATTAGGAACTTTGAATCCCGACTTTCTGCAATAAAAAAATACAGAATATGACTAAACAGGTTGTCATAAAGCAAAGGACAAACAGAGAAGTAGCACTCGATCATAAAGTCATGCTTTTCCTGCTGAACCAAAGAGACGCATCTTTTCTGCAATTACAGCTTTCATTGCTTCCTTTGCTGATGCCATAACATGGACAAGATCTTTCTTTGGACTTCCAAGCGAATCCATGTAAGCCTTCCGCACCTCAGTGTTTACATTGAATTTTCTCACGCCCCGCTCTATGCATTCCTGTACAAAGCAACCAAGTAGTTTGTTAGGCTAATCACCAATGATTTTTATAAACAACATGCTATTACTCTTCGACGGATTAAAGCTATAATGATGAAGAAAATCTATGACGGCCTGTGATTCGTGAAAACAAACAAGAAGTCCAATGGTGTACGAAGCTCAGATGTAAGTATGCACCTTGATAAGTTCCTTGCACAAGCCAGAAGCTCCGTGAAGCACCAGAAAGACTCCTCTATTCGAACACAAAGCATCCAAATCCTTCACATGAAATGCACTTTGGAATCAGTATCCCAAAAAATAGGATCAACTGTGGTGTATGCACTATTGAATATGCATTTATAGTATATACTATATAGTTGTGTATGTGTATGTGTAAGTCTCACGGCCTACTGCTGCACTTGACAACAAATTTCCCAAGCTCGTCAGGCAGTTCTGATTATTAAATATTGAGGTTACGTTATTCACTCATGTACGTCCATTATGGAAGTTAAAGCGTGAAGGGATTTGGTAAGCACGAGTCTCATAAGATCTAGAAGTTTAAAAGCCAATTTTTAGTCATTATCCAGAAAATAACTTTCGGTATAATAAGAAGGAAAAGGACAAATCAGACATGCAGCAAACTAGATTACACGGTACCCTTGACAGGCAATAAAGAAAGAGAAAAATAATACTAACAAGTATTATTAATATCACTATCATGGAAAGAAAACTGAAGTGAAATCTTCAGTGTCCAAGTCATAGTATATCTCTTCAATCTTTCAAGCCTAATATAAAAGTTTTAAGACTTCTCCATCTATCAAAATTACAACAAAAAAAAAAAACGACAAAAAAAAAAAACAAAGAAAAATGACGTTAAAGAATTCCATACTTCTAAACACTTTTTTAACAAACAAGTGTTGAGAACTAAAGGGGTTAGGAACGGTTTGAAAGCCTTAGTACGTGGAATATGTGAGTGGATACTATTTAGTCCAAGCGATTGAAATATATCGTGCATGTTAATAAAACAGGGAAACATAAGAGTGTGCTAGACATTCAGGAACATAACTTTAAACTTTAACAGTCCTACGATTTTAAATGCATGGGCAGGTATAAAAATGCACAGAATTAGTGTTAATTGATTATGTAAAGAGGAACTTGAAACACTAAACGTATATACTTGACCTTAAGCAAGTCAAGTCTCAGATTTGGACCACTCGCTGGATACTTTCCATGGACATTACCGATACACACAGCCAAAGAATCTATTCCGGTCTCATCAATGAACTCTTGAGCCTGAAATTCCAGCACCTAGTTAGTTAGGAACTAGGAATTGTACCATGAAAGATCGACTGAAATTTTAACATAAAGAATAATGAGGCCCCCAAAAAAGACCTGATTAACATCGGTCAGCCTTGCTTCATAATCTTCAACAGTCAAATCGTCTTCTGTCCCTGACAATCTCCCTAGTTCAGCTTCCACCAACATCCCCTTTGCGTGCGCCAAAACTGATATAAACTTTGTGTAAGAGACATTGTCCTTGAAGGACAGATGTGAACCATCTACCATAAGCGAATCAAGTCCCTGTAAAAATTATATCAGAGAATGTGAGACAATTGATTAATGATCGATAACGTGAAAGAAACTCAAACATGTAAAAACCAAGAAGGATAATAATTAATAAATCAACCTACCAACTCAAGTGCCTCGACCATGTCTTCTTTTGAAGTTCCGTGATCAAAATGGACAGTGATGGGCACCTGTCACACATTTATATGGATTATGACATTCATGCCGGTATAAATTGCAGTGTTTGTCATACTATTCATCTTTTGTCGTTACTCTTAAGGTACTGATGGTCTACCAGAAAAAGTTGCAAAAGCGAAAACATCATGTAGGTAGCTTATCGTTTTGCCATTTAACTAATTGGGAATACCATGGAAAATCCTGGCACTGAACCTTTTTCTCGTTAGATAAAGTTGAGTACTATTTTTCTTCCCCTTTTCTGTCGGTCAAATTCATCTTTTTCCTTAGAAACCCAACCTAGAAAAAAGGACAAGGATTGTTGATCTATCCTGAAATGACAAGCACACACACATGACACTTTGTGTGTGTGTGTGTGCCTGTGTGTCTGTGTGTGTGTGTGTGAGTGAGTGTTCGCAACTTTCCTCTTTCTATATTATTTCCTGTGTTCAATTTTGTCAAGTTTTTGAAATGCCTCTTACACTGGCTTGTTCCGCAGCGGCAATGCAACATGAAACCAAAGGAATCCCACCCTGTTTTAAAGCACCGGGATGGATCTGCAGAAAGAAACGAAGAAATTAGTAAAATATCTAAAATTCTTTCCTAACAAAACTGAGACAAATTTCCATGCCTCATTTCATTGATGGAAAAAACATGCACCATAAGCAATCAAAGAATTGAATAAAAACATATCAAGGATACGAGAAGGATAGTTTGCTCATCATTCATGTGTTGGGATTGATGCCCAAAAAGCATATGATGTGAGGATCTGCAGTTTCCCAAATTAAAATTTACGAAGTTCTGTTTAAGGAAATTTGGATTTCACTAAATCAGATTATTTGACTTTAGTAGATAAAGCAGAAACAGAAAGGTGGAGATTTTTTTTTTCTCTTCTCCTGCTTATCCAAAACCGGCACCACGCAGAGAGTTACCCTGCGTGGCACGCCCATCACTTCCCTGTAAAGGGAAGGTGACCCAATTAATTTGTTTTAATTGTTACAAATAGAAAGGCCTATTTCCAAATAGGATTCTATCTTCTAACACTATAAATAGGGGTCTAGAGGAGATAGAAAACTCATTCTTGAGACATTCAGTTTTTCCTCTCTCAGAGAAAAGAAGAACCAGGAGAGTTTCTCAGTTTTAATCTCTGCTTTCTCATATGTTGAAATCATAGCGGGATTCAGAAAGTATGTGTGATCTTTCCGATTGTTTTCTACAAACGCCCACACGTCCATTCATTTATACTGCAGATTGGCATGGAAGATCTAAGGATTCAAAGGAAACGAGCCATTCGTTGTTAATTAGAAGAATTTAAAAGTCATCTGCCTAATCGGACAACGGTAAATACTTATTTTTACTTGCATAAATTAATGTATTTATAGTGACTCGTTAAAAGTTTAGATAAAATTTGGAAATATATGATCTGATTGTATGCAGCGCTTCCGCAATTTTTCCATGCAATTTGTTTTTCGGAACCAACATCATGCACACGAAACATTAAGTGAGATATACAAATTTATACTACGGAAAGCCCAGATGATATGAGGTCTATTTTTGGGGAGGGGGTTACAGTCCCAATTAAGAGACCTCCTTTGACACAAGGTGGATGCCAGTAGGCCACAAGGTGAGAGGTGAAATATCTTTTAACTGGACTCCTAGATTTACCTTTCTAGTATTTGCCCACACAGAGAGAGAACTAAGTCTGTGAGAGTTGAGAGAACTAATTCTGTCCCTTCTCTTGGGCTAATGTCGTAAACTACGATGACGGTTTTTTATTTTTTATTATCATAACATTATTTGCTGCTCAAGGAGAACTCTGTGAGGTCTCCTGATATGAATTCAATTGACTATCGTCTGCATGCACTGCTATGTTCTCCTGAAAATCTAAATTTTTCATGTTGGGGCTCGAATACAGTTACTGGGTTCCTGAATGCTGGGGCTTGGATACAGTTACTGGGAAGCTCAAACTCCGACTTATTTGGTATTGTGGTGAAGGAGCTTAGATGAAACTCTAAAACAACCAAAGCGTCATCCTTTAACTAGCTTGTTTTCTTTAGTGGACTAGAAAACCAGAATATATATTTTTCAGGTCAGGCCTAGAGTTTCTGGCACAGATAAGCCATTACCCGTGCTTATGTTTTAGGGTTAATACCATAAATGGTCCTGAAGCTTACCCTCAATCCTATTTTGGTACTTGACTTTAAAATGTCCCACAATTGGTCCTTAAGATTTTACTCTATTTTAGTTTCGGTCTTTTCATTAACTAGATATTAAATATTTGACGAAATTTGTGTAAATTAGGGACCAAAATTAGCAACTAAAATTTAGGGAGTATCTGTAGAAATTAACTTTTATTTTTTATGTTTTTTAGTCCTTAAACTTTAGATGTTTCTAATTTTGGTCTCTAATCTCTACAAATTCCGTCCAATATCGAGCACCTAGCTAACAAAAGGACCAAAACATAAACCGAGTAAAACCCCAAGGACCAACTGTGAGAAGTTTTAAAAATTAGGGACTAAAGCGAGATTGAGGGTAAACCTCGGGAACCATTTGTGGGATTAACCTTAAGTTTTAAACTCTGCTATGAGCACAAGCCAAGGACATAAACACACAAGATTTGGATTATATTCAAGTACTAGGATATATCTAGCTTATATATTGAACTTCAGAGTCTTCTAACCTGTAAGATGGCGGGACTTTGTTCTTCCTCAGCTGCAGCAACAACTGCCTCCACTCCTTCCAAATTGTAAACATTGAAGGCACCAATAGCATATCCACCCTGTTCTGCATTCTTTATTTGGAACAAAAAATTTAGTAAGAAAGACTGACGAAACAAAAAAAATAAAATAATAACAATATTAATGAATAAATAAATTTGTAATTCAGTGAAGCTTACAAGAAGAAGCTCTTTTGCTGATGAAAGCCGGGATGGACGAGCCCAAGATTTCACTAGCTCTGCCAGTGCCTTACTATCACCAACATTGCCTAGGAATAGATAATTTTAGAATTTTTATCAAAACAAAATACTTCAATGGTACAGAGGAAAACATAAGTGGGGAACTTGGATTCACCAGGAAAAACTATGTATGGAACTCCTGGATGTCTACTTTCAGGACCTAGCTGCCACAAGGGAACACCAGCCATGGCTTGTCCCACTATTTTGGCACATTTTGCTTCAAGGGCTTTTGTAGCAGTGTCGGATGAAGTGATTCCACCCTTGAACAGAGAATAAGGGTTAATATCTTGGGCACAAATTCACTAAGCAGAGCCAGGAGCGAGAGTAGAAATTCTTAAAAATTTCCGAAAGATCCAATATGTCTCCAGAGGAGGGACACGCTTGCTAAAACGAAATACCATTTAGCAACTGTATGTAAATTGGTAACTAAGAGATAAGCTAGGCTTTCCAAGCAAACCATTTGCAAATATCTGGAGAGGAACTTTGATCATTTGAAATCAAGAGATTACCTTTGCGAGAATATAACGAGGTTTTGTTGTTATCCGCCTAACTATTTCCACCAGTGAAGAGCTCACTTTAAAGTTGATTTCCAAACTCTCAGAGGGAGCTTCCAACAAAAAATAATATTACACGTGAAGAAAGAGATAGAAGAACCGAAAGATTACTTGGGTAATTAGAGAAAAATAAAATTAACAATTCTGTGATATTTTTCTACTAAGAAATTAGCTGCTGGCCGATTTATTTTCTGTTAAGTTCTTCTGGAATATTCTACCCAAGTTGAAGAAGCTCTCGCTTTCTATTACACACACACGCAGAGAGCAAAGACTAACTTTTTCCAGTGATGAGCTCCCGACTGGTCATTATTAGAGTGTCCTTACGTGACCGAAGGAAAACATCTGCCATCTCAGCTGCTCTTGCGATTTCCTCTACCCTCTCTTCTATAGATCCCATAGCAACTTTAGCTACAGAGACCTGTTGAGGATAAGAATGCATCTTTCAGACTTCCATGTTCATAAATCAATGTTACAATTTACACGTAAATGTAAAACCAACTAAGTTCAAACCTGATGTCCAGTTTCATTTCCACGAAGTATACTTGTACATCATAATTGCGTCTCTATTAGGTTAGTCTTCATATGTGTGCGTGTATGCAGCACTTGTTATATTGTGACTACTACTTTTTCAGGATAAACATACTACTAGAACCAACAACAAAATTTAGAGGCAAATAAATTCTACTCAAAATAGTATTCTTCAAAATGTCTGAATTTTAACCAAGTGTTAGTTGCAAAGCAGATTTGGAGGATAATTCAAAAACTGGACTCTCTTGTGGCTTGAATTCTAAAGGTGAAAGATTTCGCTAGTGGGTCTCTTCTCGATGCTAGCCTGGGGCACAATCCATCGTTTACTTGGCGCAGCCTATTATAGGCAAGACCTCTTAGCAAATGGGCTTTGGTTGAGGGCCTAGACCCCATACTTTTCGGCCTATCACACCAGTGAACCCGGATATCGAATACTCGAAGGTTGAAGATCCCATACTAAATAGACAAAGGAATTTGAATTTGATCCGCAATGTTTTCCTCCCCGTGGATCAGGAGGTGATTCTTCATATCCCTTTGAGCCAAAGCGGGTGTGATGACGGGTGGGTTTGGCACTTCGATGCTAAAGGGGCTTACTCAGTGAGATTGGGTTATAGATTGACCATGGATATGAAAGCTAAATCGGGAGGTTTGAGGGCTCGAGGAGACTGAGATTGGTGGGTCAAGATGTGGGAACTCAACATACCAAACAATGTAAAGAATTTTATGTGGAGGGCTGTTAATAACATTTTACCTTGTATGGTTAATTACCTAGGCGAGGGATTGATTGTGTGACGCAGTGTCAGCTATGTCGGGACGGGCTTTAGACGGATTGGCATGCTCTGTGGGATTGTCCCTTTGCTAGTCTAGTGCACTCTTGCCAAAGTTGAGCGAAGTGAAGGCTGGTTGTTTTGAGTCGCTGTGTGTTAATTGGAGTCGGGTGGCTAGTCAAGCTGAGTTGGAAATTTTGAGTGTTATTGCATGGGCTATCTGGTTTCATAGGAATAGAGCTATACATCACCATATTACAGCTACCCCAACGGCAACCTTGGAGTGGGCAGACCGTGCTTTAGGAGACTTTCAAAGCTGCTGGGAGAAAACTCTTCCCGTACAGCAGCCTCTGCAGAGGCAAGATGTCAGATGGAAAGCTCCTTCAGAGGATTTGTTGAAAATGAACATAGATTCCTCAGTTCATCAAGGTCTTGAATAGATTGGTGTTGGAGCTGTAGTGAGGGATTTAGATGCGGTGGTTCTGGCAGGCTTTGCAAAGAGGATCTATGGTTGCTTTTCTCCCTTTGTTGCTAAATGCATGGCGCTGCATGAAGGCCTCCTTTTGGCTAGGAAATGTGGGCTGGATGTTCGAATCATTGAGACTGATGCATTGTGTGTTGTTCAATCCATCAATTCGAGAGCATTTCTTGGTGAGGGAGGAGCTATCATTGAAGATATATTGAATATGCTATCCCTTGTTAGTAATTGGGAATGTTGTTTTGTGCCTAGGGAAGGGAATTCTGTGGCTCATTTTCTAGCTTCTGGTGCTTTTTCTTTTCAATTTGAGTCTGTGGGTTCTCAGCAGATACCTTTATTTGAAGCTCCTCATGTTTTGGCTGTTTTAATCTAATTAATAATATGCCATTTTCCCCCAAAAAAAAAAAATTAATAATAAAATTAGAGTTTATATATGTGTCAACTACTTCTGAAACCAAAATGCGTCACTTCCATGTCATATTTCTATTCAAATTAACACTTTTTAACATTTCTGGATGGAAATTTTGTTTGAACATGTACATTTTAATTTTGACTATGCGTACAAAGGGTAAAATTGGTACGAACAGGAACTTTTTGTCTCCAAGAGATGCTATAGGACTATTTAATATTTTCAAACGTGAACATAGAATTTATATTGCTTTCTTCTAGTTGACTTCAACCACAACTTAGATTATATCTCATAACCCAGGAACTGCATCATTACTAGATCCTAAGATTAGGATACAGATTTGAATAGGACCTATTTTTTGTAGTCTTTTCAACAGCCCTAAATAGAGGGTTTAGTTCTAATTTCTGAGATTCTTACTGAAAAACTAAAAAAAATTAGTCAAATCTGAGACAGGTAGTTAAGACTATGAATCACCTCAATGCTTCTTAAACTCTGGCCGCATTGCAGTCTAAGCTCTTCAACCTGTGATTAAGTACGAACCATAGAGAGTGTTCATAGTGCATGAAAAGCATGTATAATAAATCAACAGGTAGCGGCTAGTCCAACCTGTTTTGTGGTTTTCGGGACATATGATCCCACAACAATGAGACCACCATTCCTTTCTTTGTTTATTCCTAGATCCTTTGGCGAAATTGGAGCTTTTGCAACAATTCCAACACGCGAAGATACAAAACTGGCAGCTGTGCGGCATAAGTACCGCTTTCCTTTCATTTCTGCCTGCAGATAAAAAGTAAAATACAAGCGATGAAAAGAACAACCCAAATTTGTGAAAGATGGGCCAAAGGAAGAGTACAAGAGTAGCATGATACTTGCCTTAATCATTCCAGCAGCAAAGACACCCATGTCTCTTTCACTAGCTGCATTGACTATGCATGTCGACCCCTGTTTCATTCACTTATTCAAATCATAGTAAGTGAAAAACTCAAAGTACAATATCACACTGACTTGATAAATATATGCATTACAAAATATCAACAACAAATTGCAATTAGAATACATGAAGTCATCACTGTTAGTTTACCAATCCATCCCAAAAGCTTAAGCTGTTAGGAGGTGGGCCAACAATAGTTTTATACTTTAACACTCCCCCTCACGTGTGAGTTGGACAATGGGCAATCGTGTGGGTAAATGAATTAGAAAGCCCAACACGTGAATATTTAAGCCCGAGATATATTAAAGACCCAACACATGATGACAACTTAACTGGGGATAAAGAGTGCAATTACGGGGGTTTAAACTCAAGACCTCCCGCTTTGATACCATGTTAGTTTACCAATCCATCCCAAAAGCTTAAGCTGTTAAGAGGTGGGCTAACAATAGTTTTATACTTTAACAATCACACTGTAACAACTAAAATGAAACACAGCATAGCAGCATCAAGTTTTTTGAAAGAGATCATACAAACATAAATGAAGCTAACATGGTAAGACTTTCTAACATCCAGCAGCATCGTGCTTAATAGGAAAATCCAAGTTATAGAATCATGAATCAAATGAATATTTGCAAAAAATTTTCCACACATATATTAACCTTCAATGCAGGCTTTGATGCAACAAATAAAAGGTGCTGATAAAGTAGAAATTTGAATAATGCAAATGAAAAACAAGATGAAGATCCTTGCAATTAGCTGCAGTCTTGCCTGAGCAAGTACGCTATAAATTTTTCCTTTCTTCTTTATAAGATATGACATTTTATTAATATGAAAGGTAGGAAGAAACAAAAGAAAACCAGAGGACAAAAGGTCCTTGATGAGTACCGACCTGCAATGAACAATTCCTAGCAGCTAACACATGCCAAGACCAGCCAAACAAAAGAGATTTATTGAGAAAAAGAGAGCTCAGAATATCTCAGAGCCCTCTACTGGTATTAACTATGGAAACCAAAGGAAATTACAAATCCCACAGCTTCGAGGCGTTGCTACCTCCACTCACTAATTCCCTACCTCACTCCTAGCATCTAGCCCTTTTATTCATGATTCGGTTAGGCCACTAACAAAATTTCCATGTGACCAATCAACAAATGCCACCTGTAGCTTAGATATTTGGGCCTTTCTTGGGCCTCCTGGAGTACACATTACCAAACCGAACGTTCCTATGGCCAGCTCCATGGAGTTGATCAACCAGGCAATAACCAGAGAGTTTTTGGACCTCCATGCGCTCAGCTTCGAGTCTCCCCATTCTGGTTTCTTCACTTCTCCTGTCAAATGACCCAGCTTTCCCCTTCCGTCTATGGCCAACTTCACGGATTGCACCCATTCTAGGTAGGTTTTTCCGTTTAGTTTTTGGAGGGTTAACTGGAACGAGTGGAGAGAGGAATCTCTGTGATTCATGGTGGTTCTGGAAGGTTCACCAAGAAGAGTGCTCTCTGCCTCTGAAGTAGCCGAAGATCTTGTTTCCTCAAGAATAGGGAAGGCCGTTTTAGCCATGAAAAAAGAGACTTATTTCGGCTCAAATACCACGTAGATTTAAGGCAGAGAAAAATATTTTTCATTAATATGAGAATTGTACAGCATTTACAGGAATTTATAGGGAAACCACACCAACAACTTTGGTGTAAAAATCCCTTAATTGAAGGAGATTCTGACCTCAAGGAATGTCTTTATTTTCGGAAACAAGAAATACTTTCCTATACAAAAAAATAATTTCCTATTCCAGCTCAAATCCCATATTGACTGGATTGATTGGCTTCCAAGGTCAATGATCCTATTACTTTCCTTATTTCGACACAAAGGATACACTCAGACTTGTGGAATAGCCTATCACGAGACATTCGCACCAGGAGCAAAAATGAACACCATTAGGATTCTGTTATAACCCTTGGGTCGAACTCATCCCCAAAAGCTAGCTTGTAGAGAGAGGGTGCCCAAGTGGTTAAAACCCCACATGTTAAGCCCATACTTTAGCAATGTGGGACTCAACCAGGATCCTAACATACCACCACGCTTTCGACACGACGTCCATGGCGGCCCACTCTGGCCTTTCCAGGTCGCCCCTTCCGCAACGTGGGCCTGAGGAGGAGCATGCTCTGATACCAATTGTTATAACCCTTGGGTAGAACTCATCCCCAAAAGCTAGCTTGTAGGGAGAGGGTGCCCAAGTGGTTATAAACCCACATGTTAAGCCCATACTTTAGCAATGTGGGACGCAACCAGGATCCTAACAGATTCTCGTCTCTAGCAGTGATAAAGGAATGGTCACTACTCCAACCTGATGTAAAGAATGCCTTCCTCCATGGAGACTTGGAAGAGGAAGTTTACATGGATATTCCACTAGGTTACCAAGGAGATAAGCAGAGCAATAAGGTGTGCAAATTAAAGAGATCCCTTTATGGTCTGAAACAATCACCTCGAGCATGGTTTGGTTTGGTAGGTTCACAAAAGCCATGTTAAATCGTGGCTACACTCAAAGCCAAGGTGATCATACTCTATTCATCAAGATGTCTGCGGAAGGGGAGACTACAGCCTTAATTGTCTATGTAGATGACTTTATTGTGACAGGTGATGACAATGAGGAGAAGACTGGATTGAAAGCTTAGTTGGCAAAGGAATTTGAAATCAAAGACCTAGGAAACCTGAGATATTTCCTAGGAATTGAGGTTGCCAGATCGCGACATGGGATCATCTCACAACATAAGTACACTCAGGACCTCCTGCAAGAAACTGGCATGGCTGGCTGCAAACCAATTGATACTCCAATAGAAGCCAAACATTGATTGGGAGAGAAAAATGAAGGAGAGGAACTAGTAGATCAAGGAGAGTACCAGAGAATGGTGGGCAAGCTCATTTCCTTATCGCATACCAGACCAGATATTGTCTTTGATGTAAGTGTCGTTAGCCAGTTTATGCATGCTCCGCTAAAACCTATTATTGAAGATGTCAACCGGATTTTGAGATATCTAAAAGGATCTCCAGGAAAAAGGCTTGCTATTTCATAAGAATGAGGAGCTTAAATTAGAAGTTTACATTGATGCAAACTGGGCTGGTTCCTTGACAGATCGAAGATCAACTTCAGGATACTGTACTTTCCTAGGTGGGAATTTGGTCACTTGCAGTAAGAAGCAACCGGTGGTGGCACGCTCAAGTGCAGAAGAAGAATTTCAAGCTATGGCTCAAAGGATTTGTGAGCTTTTTTGGATGAAGATAATTTTATCGGACTTCAGGATAAGAATAGAAGCACCTATGATGTTGTATTGTGATAACAAGGCATCAATAAATATCGCACACAACCCTGTTCAACATGACCGAACAAAGCATGCTAAAATTGATAAGACACTTCATCAATGTCATCTCATTGTCAACTTGCAGATGTTCTCACCAAATGCTTGCCTGGTTTGAAGTTTAAAGATCTCATAAGCAAGCTGGGAATGCAAAATACCTTCGCTCCAGCTTGAGGAAGTGTTGGAAGATATTAGTCGTACATAATTAGTGGTTAGTAGTTAAATGTAATTAGAGTGGTTGTCTAGTAGTAGTTAGAATATTAATTATGTAATTTGTCTATTTAAGCTTGTAAATCCTCTAGTAAATTATAAGATAAAATTTTACCCAGATTATTTACAATACTTCCCACCCCCAAAACTCCTCCACCAGCAAGGACCAACAACTCTAAGGGACGACCCAACAGCCCCAACCCCTTCAAAGCTTTAGCGAAAAGTAGGGTAGAACTTTTATTTCACAAGTACTTCTAAGATGATCAGGTAAGTGGAGTTTTAAAGTCAAAATGGAGTTTTTCATTATTTTTAACAGCTGAAATTAAACTCGTTAACCTTCTGATTTTGTATTTGCATAGAAACACAACAATTATCGTCCCAACATTGATTGCTCAGTTAATCATCTTTCAAACATTAAATCAAATATTGAAACTAACTATCAAGGAAACTATAGAAAATATCTTCATTCTTGTACATCCAGCTGCAAATTAGAGTTCATTAATGTTAGTTGTTAGCCTGTAGTTGTTGGTTTTTGTATTTGTTGTATAAGTTTCTCTATTTCATCCCTGTATTATGTTTCTTTCCAGGATATAAATGAAGAATGTGTTTCACATTTTTTCCACAGAAACTTAATAATTTTGAAGTGTATGTACATAGGGCAATTAGATCATATCAAATCTTCATGTTTACCACAGTACCTTAGACACATGTCATGATTAATGAAAATTATTTCGAACTTTTCCCCTAAGATACCATCTAGATTAAGAAGCACTACTTCTCAAAAACTCGCTCAAACTTATTTAAAAGTTGCAAGGAAAATTAATAAATAGTGGAATAACTTCAAATTTTTGTTTCGAAATAAAAGAATAAAAAATAAAAAATATAAGTGTTTCCCTTGAAAGAGCAAAAATTGAAACACATAGTACTAATATACAACATATACATATTGCTTATATAGAGACAAAGATATTTATATAATTGTAATTATTATAATCTAATGCCATGACTGGAAAAACATCCTCACAAACCACATAACAGATGTGTAGAGCACGTAATCATACAAACGTGAAAATAATGAGGCTTCTAGCATATCTAGCTCGACGATGTAGCGACTAGCTAACTTAAACACCGTACTATTGTATAATTAAGTTAAATGGCATTACAGCATATCAATGACATGAAACTTAATGAGAAGTGTAGATTTTTAGGAAGAATGAATATCAATTCTTATTCCTTTAATCAGCCGGTACACATATATATACAAATAATAAAGCTTTGACTATTCTTAGGTTGTAACTAACTAAGGAAACAAACCCACTAAACTAGGAAAGATAAAATAAAGATCCGGTAGAATCCCGGATTCTCCTCCTAAGTTATATACAAGATATTAGGGATAATTCTTAGAAATCTTCCCTAATTGATTCGGAAATCTCAACACTCCCCCTCAAGCTGAGTTG